GAGTCCGGGGTCTGCGCGGCGCTGCTGGGGAATAAAAAGGAGAGAGGAGGCGCCTCTTACTGCTCTGCCGGAAAACTGCAGCCTGCGCTCCTGATTGGACTCACCGAGCCCTAAACAAACAGCTCTCGCCGAAGGGTGCCAGGCTGTGGGTCGGAACTGCGCTCTGGGAGCAGCTGGGCGCGGAGGTGAAGAGGAGGAGGCGCGGCGGCGGGGGAGGGACCGAGGGAGGAGAAAAGGGAGGGTGGGGAGGGGACGGCGAGGGGGAGGGGAGCGCGCAGCCGGGCAGACAATGAGAGCGGAGCAGCCGCGGGCGTGGGCCGGGCGCCTTGCGCAGCCCCGGCCGCGGGGACGAGTGCCCCCCAGGGGGCGCCCAGCTCCGGGACGCCTGGGAGGGGCGGAGGCGACAGAATGCCCAACTGACTGGCGACCTACACCCAGCCAGGCGAGGTGCACCCTCCCGCGCCCCCAGTTCGGTGCACACCCGCGTGCGCGCGCTCACACTCACAGCCGGGGAAGGCGGAGCTCCGACGGTGCACCGCCCGGCGCGCGGCAGGAGCGTGCCCCCAAAATGAGGGGCGTAAGCGCCTCGCCCCCGGCCCCCTCCCCCTCCCCCTCGCGTCCTAGTAAACGAGGTTTTTGGCTCTGCAGCGCTGTGCGACCGACCTTAAACTTTCCCCGCCCCTATTCCTGGATGCTAGGGCTCAGGTCGGGGTGACCTTTGGGCACGGGCTCCTCCGACCTGGCAGGGAAGGATCCCGATGCCCACTCCATACCTCTCTTCTGCTCTTAAAATACTCATCAAATCCTCGCGAGGATCGCGTTCCCCAGTTGAACTTTGGGAACTTTTAACTCGGGGTTGCCGCGTGTGGAAAGCCGTCTACGAGGTGCGCGAGACGGCAAGTGGTGCCTGGGGACACCCTGCGTTTTGCCCTCGCGCTTGCTGTGACTCTCCCTGGACTTCAGGTAAGGCGCAGACAAGTCGTGAGGGCCAGGTGGTACCCTCCCCGGACCCGGTGCAAATCCGGGATCCCTGCCCCCACCCTCGCGCACACACCCCTTTCTCGCTGCCTCGGAACGGTGATCGCAGCTGTGTGTGAACTGACACGGTCCTTGGCGACCAAAGGACTGGAACGGGCGTCGCGGGTTATCAGCCGCATCTGTCAGCAGCGCGGCTCGTGACTGCAGGCGCGTCCGCGCGCGCCGGGACACCGAGAGGACGCGGGAGCGCGAGGGCGGGAGGCGCGACCTCGGGGATGGCTCCGCGCACCTCCCCTCCCCCTCCCCCAGGTTAATCGAAGTAAATGATTTCCTAGAGGTCAGTCTCCCTGAGTGCGTTTGGGCTCTGGTTTTTGTTTTTTGGTGCTTTTTTTTTAATATTTATTTTTATGTTTTTCCAGTTGGGGAAGGGAGAGGCGCCTCGGCAGAGTTCAGCAGGGCTGGGAGGTGCGTCGTAAAGCGCGGTCCGGAGAGAGGGTGCGACCTCTTCGAAGAAGGAAGGGCTCCTGGTGGCGGAACCGTGAGTGCGAGCCTGCGGGTGGGGGTGGCAAGGCGGGCAGGGGGCGCGGAACCCAGGAAGTTGGCGAAAAGTCTCCTTTTCTCATCCTTCGTTGTAAATCGCTGCTGAAGACCTCTGAATTTTAAATTGCTACCGAGAAGGTCCATAAACCGTTCTCGCCCGATTTAGTCACTTTTATGACATTCCTCTCCGCCACCCCCCAGTCCCGCGCCAGGTCCCAGTTGCAGCGGGTTGGGAAAGGCTGGAGGTGGAAAGCTCTGGAACGGCGGAAAGTCTGGCCACCGGAGCAGGATCCAGGGCTTTAAATTTTAACCTGAGTTCGATCGAATGCGCGGTTCCCACCGTGGCTTCCAAGGTCTCGCTGGACTGAGGTCCCTGGGCGACTTGCAGCAAGTTTGTAAACGGACTGGATTTTGCAAAGCTCGGGTGTAAGCAGTTACCTGGACGTTCTGGGCGCTTGATTTTCTTTGACTCCAATTGTTTGTTTTGTTTTTTTAAATAGTGTTTCTCAGATTTGCTATTAAAGGGATTTTTAAAATTTCATATTTGCTAAAAATAAATGCTTTGGTGAAGCTTGCGTCTAGACTGTGAACGGCCTCCAAGCCGGAGCCTGGAGCCCGAGACCCCGCGCGAGCCTGACCCTGGGGTTGCGCGTTTTCTTTATGTTTCCGAGCTCGGGGTGTCCGTGTGAGCTTGCTGGGACCACAGCTCGACCCACGACCGCGCCGGGCCGCAGCTCTGGGGGGGCGCAGCCAGGACACGGCCGCGCGCTGGGACATTCGGGCTCGGGGCTCGGGAAGAGGCCCCCGGTCCCTAACAGCGCCCCACACAAGGGGAGAGTAGGTGACGGGTCCTGCCTCGGGGCCTCCCCACTCCAGCCTCGTTTTCAAACCCGTCGAGGGAACGAGAGAGCGATGTGTCCTGTCAGTTCCTTTAAAAATAAAGGGAAACTGTTTAACCTGATTAGGACCAAATCCAGGCGCCCCGGGCCTGCAGAGAGCGGCGCGGACGCACAGGCGCACCGAGGCGGGGAGGACCGGGCCAGGGCCGGAGCGCCCGAGCGCCCGGGACAGAGGAGCCTCGGAGCCCTTTCCCTCTCCCGCGCTTCCTTTGTTTCCCCTTCCCCAAAGGGCCCGCTCCCCGGCCCGCGGCGCCCCGCGGGGTCTGCGCTGGC